TGGCAGTCATGTATATATACCACTGCTTTATCCACACAAGTTTTGTGCCACTGGAGAAGTTGGTAAAAACAAAACAAAACAAATAAAAAACAGGCCACCTGCTTCCAAAATGTTACTGATAACATTCTGAAGCTGAAAAGAAGGCTCAACCCTCTTTTTCATTTCCCTCTTAATTTTTGGGGGGAGACATGCTTTTGATATCCTAAGGTTCCCCCAAATTCACTGATCTGCCCCCCCCCTTTTATTTTCTCATTGGCCTTCTTAGGCATCCTATGGTAACATGCTCTGAGCTGGAGTGTCCTCCCCAGAGCACGAAGCCTGGGTAAAATCATATGGAGGATAGGTTGTTACCCAAGCAGCAAATCCCCCCTCTCCACGTCGCTGAAATAGTCCAGTGGAAAGGCGAGAGCCAATACAACTGGTTCCAGCAACGTCGCAGGAGTTGCCAGAATGACACGAATTGCCTCCAGGACTCCAGCTCCGGATTTTGCCTCAAGGTTTACTCCTGAAACCTTTTCCATCAGTGGATGTAGCCACAAGGCAGTGGAGGTTTGAAATCAGAGTTTTCCATCTCCTAGATGGGCTGCCTTCCAAGGCTGATGAGCCCCACCTACCCAGGTACTTGGAATTTACAAGATGTATTTAAAATGAATTTGGACAGGTTAAGAAAAGAGAGGTGAAAAGCCATCTTGAAGCAAAAAAGGCCATAGTAGAAGGTCGGTCTGACCCCTGGCTTCATGGGGGTGATGAATCCACCCTGGTTATATCCTTGCATCGGCTTTGTCATGTTCGGGCTGAAACCCAGAGCACCACCATCACTTTGTGAAATTGGAGCCGTCACCCCACCCCACCCCCGGGGTGATCACTGAGAAAACCCACCCAGGGGTGAGCTTTATAAAATTCCCCAGAACTTTTCATGTGAAAATATGCTATGAAAATTAAAGGTATAGGTATATATGGGACAACCCAGAAGTTCAAACATCTGGCCCCATGGATCTGCTATCATACGTCAGTGTCACTACGAGATGGAGGGTGACTGAAGCAGAGAAGCTTTAAAGCTCTAGTTTTCAGCTTTTTAGGATGCCTAGTTTATGGTTTCTGCACATTTCCACCAAGATGGATCACAGGTCTAGCTGGGACTCCCTGGACCAAGTCTTTGTCAAGTTCAGGCAAAAACCCAGAACAGATACGCTGCCACCTCCTCCATGGAATCAGAGTTCAGTGGTAGACTCTGTTCATTTTGAGCTTTTTCAAAGTTCCCAGACCTTACAGGAGTTTGCTTTTGTCTTACAATTGCTGCACTATTCTGTGTCTTCCAGTGGTCTCTGTGGCTCATGGCCTCCTACCGCCTGCGACCCTTCTTGTTCCTGTAGAGAGAAGGGGGTGGAAAGATTCCTCTTCCCTACAAAGGTTTCTTATAAAGGATCTGGAAATCTGGACTGGAGGCAGAAGAATGAAAACGGGTGGAAGACGCCTCGGTGAAAGTAAGAGATGCCGATGACACCATCTTCCTGGCAGAAAGCAGCAACGATTTTTAATAACTTTCATTTGAAAGCGAAAGAAGAAAAGTGTCAAAGCAGGACCGCAGTGGCACACGAAGAAGGCAAGAATCATAAGAGCAACACAACTGGAAGGTTGACTATGAAGAAATTGAAATTGTGAAAGATTTCGTAAACCTTCCTTCAAGCATCAAGCCAGAGGTAGATTGAAGCCAAGAAATCAGGAGAAGATGGAGACTCAGAAGGACAGCCATGAAGGAATTGGAGATGATCATCAAGACAAACAAGTGGGTCCTCGATCAAATCAAGCCTGAACTCTCTCTGGAGGCAAAAAAAATTGAAACTGAGGCTGTCCTGCTTTGGGCACATCCTGAGAAGGCAGGATTCCCTGGAAGAGACAATAATGCTGGGAAAAGTCGAAGGCAGCAGGAAAAGAGGAAGACCCAATACGAGACAGACTGTCTCCCTAAAGGAAGCCACAGACCTGAGTTTGCAAGAGCTGAGCAGGGCCGTTGAGGAAGATGGGACACTTTGGAGATCACACATTCATCGGGTCATCATACGTCGGAGGGGATTTGACGACAGGTAACAACAACAACATAAAGGATCTGGGGGGAAAACTGATCTCTCCCAAACCTTATTGGTGACTGTGAACTTTCTGCAGCCACTGCAGTCTTACGCAACCATCTTTTCTCTCCCTCGTGGGACCGAAGGGTGTCAAGAGTTGAAGACCATCAACAACTTTCCATTTTGCCCCAGAGCTGATCGCAACCTAAAGTGTCAAGTTTTCATCTCCTTCGTGCGTCCTTCTTGGGTTAGAGAGAAACAAGAGGAGTCATCACCAGGTCACCCTAATTCAATTAAGCAGAGACAATGCAGGGATAGGATCAAGCCACATGGTTTAGCGGCACGCAACTGATGCCCAGAGAGATCACCCTCCCAAAAACCGACAACTCGCTATTCAAGAATGTAATTATTGCAATTAGGATACTTTGATCCATTCCCACGAGGCAGGCTTGGGCACATTAACTCTGGTGCACACCAAGTTCTTAGTTCTAACGTGAAAGGTGCCCGTTTAAACCCTGTGCAGTTTTTTAGTAGTTTTCAAAAAGCTTTTTTTTGGGGGGGGGAATCGTTCCCAGAACTCCCACAAACATACCTACGCGTTCAACATGGATCAGCTGCAGCTTGAAAAAGCAGCTATTTCAAGCAATGGTTTTGATACCTTGTAGAAAGGGAAGCCCGATTGAGGACCAGCTGTCTGCAACTTTCTCTGGGCCCTCGGTCCTCACGCGGGACATTCATAAACATTCCACCTGCTCAGGGTGAAGGATGAGTCCTCAAGGGACAAAAAGCAAGGCCAGTGTAAGGAGGGGGAAAGGAAAACTTACCTGGAGGAACAGAAGAGTCCGGCCAAGGTGGACTCAGCTGCATTTCACAAACATTTCACTTGCAGTGCAAAGACCAAAGCTCTTATCCCTCTAGCCCATTCTACCACCCCCATTCCCGACAGCTACGTTCCATCTTCCTTACATGCCTCCCTGGCTGAGGCTACACAGACCCACCGGTTTCAACTCTGTCCTGAGCTTCTTGGATTTCCAGACCCTTCACATTCTTCTGCCGGTTGTCCTCCTCTGGAAAACGCTGCCAATCCATGTCCTTCTCCGAAACTGAGCATACTCAGCGACTCGGGTCCAAGCGGTCACAAGGACCACGTCTCCCCCCATGAGCCCAGCTGGACCTTCAGATCATCCGGGGAGGCTTTTCTCTCGGTCCCGCCACCATCACAAGTGCCTTCATTCTCTCAGTCCCACCACCATCACAAGTGCCTTCGGACCCAGGAGAAGGGCTTTCTCTGTGGCTACTCCCAGACTGTGGAACTCCTTCCCACTGGAGGCCAAGCTGGCCCCATCTTTACTGTCTTTCCCCAAGCAGGCAAAGACCTTCAGGCAGGCTTTTCCTTAAGTAACTGGCTGTTGAGGGTTCTTTTAAAATGGAATATTGTGCTCTGTTGTTTTCAAGTGTGGTTTTGGTGTTGATTATGTTTGCTCTTTTAGTGTGGCATTTCTCTTGATTCTTTTCAGTTTTTTACTACTTCCTGTTTTTAGCATGTGTTTGCTCTTTTAGTGTGGCATTTCTCTTTATTCTTTTCAGTCTTTTACTACTTCCTGTTTTTAGCTTTAAATGCTGTCTTAAAATGATGTGACTTGTGTTGGGTCTTTTTTTTAAGGAGAAAAGTGGGGTAAAAATTATTTTAAATGAACTTGTGTCCTGGATATATTTTGCCCCCAAACACAGAACTTTACCATCATCTTTCCTGAATTTCGCTGCGTTGGCCTCACGGCCCTGAGTTCCAGACTCCTGCAAATTCTTATTAATTTCTCATATAAGGGTGACGCCTTTATGTTCTATAAATAGAAAGCCCTTTTCTTATCGCATGAATGAAGTAATCCCATCGTCCATGGGATCAAACTTGCCTCCTACTTGCGCAGGAGACATCCAAGTACCGACGTAATGTGGTGGAGATTGTGACAGGCCGTGTTCCCATCAGAGAAGAAAAAAAGAAAAAAAATTCTAGCCAGGAGTGAGAAATCCAATTTATAAATATAATAATACATTAGAGATTGAAAATAGGATGTGCTGCCCCCTACAGGCAGATGGAGGCTATTGCCATTCAAGTCACAAGTGCTGAAGTCGTAATAAAATGGAAAATAGAAACTTGGCCATAAATACAGTGGTGCCTCGCTTAACGGGCACCCCGTTTAACGATGAATCCGCATAGCAATTTTTTTGCGATCGTTTTTGTGCATTGCAATGTTTTTAATGATCGGTAAGCTGTTTCGCTCACCGTTTTTCGCATAGCAATGATTTCCCAACAGCTGATCGGCGGTTCCAAAATGGCCGCTCTGTAAAAAAAATGGCCGTCCGCTGTGTTTTCGCACCGATTCCTCGCTTACCGGGCAGCGAAAATGGCGGCCGTATGGAGGATTTTTGCTTTAAGGTGAGTTTTTTGCCCATAGGAACGCATTAAACAGGTTTTAATGCATTCCCATGAGCTTTTTTTCCCCCGCATAGCAACAAATCCGTATAGCGACGATTTTTGCTCCACGGATTATCATCGCTATGCGGGGCACCACTCTAAAAGCAAAAATCAAAGATAGGTAATACTGCTATTAGACCACTAAAACACCCTTCAAAAGATAAGCTTTTCCCTGGTGTTTATGATCACCCCAGAGTGCAGGAAACATAACAATGGGTTCAAGCTACAGGAAATTAAAGTTAGATTTCGGCTGAATATCAGGAAAAGCATCTGTCTTAACTGTTAGAGCAGTACGGCAATGGAACCAGTGACCTCAAGGGGAGATGGTGAGTGCTCCAACGCTGGAGGCCTTCAAGAGAACATGGGACCACCATCTGTTAGATCTGCTTTGATTTGGACTCCTGCTTTGAGCAGGGGTTGGACCTGATGGTCTTAGAGGCCCCTTCCAACTCCAGGATTCTGATTCCAAATTAGAGCATATCTCAAATCAATCATCTGGATGTATTGCCAGTCCTTAAATCTAATTACAGGTTTATTAACACTTCTGCATGTAGCAGCAAGGCCAAAACTGGTCTCAAAATGGGAAGATGGTTAAGAGCTGTTTTTAAATATACACTTCTGCATGTAGCAGCAAGGCCAAAGCTGGTCTCAAAATGGGAAGATGGTTAACAGCTGTTTTTAAATATCTGTTATAAATGGGTTTGCTCTTTCAAAGGCTTAAAATGATAATACGAAGAATTAAAGGGCTAAGAGATACTGAGGATTTTGATATAACGTGTCACCCACTTATTATATTTATGCAACAGAAGAAAAAAATGGAGAACAACCTCAGCGTTCACATCTGTCTGGATAAACCATGGTTTGTTGCTTAAACCATCAACTACACAGCAGGCACCAAATTAAACCATGGTTTGCCTTCTTGTGAGCTCCTGTTTTGAGCAGATACAACAAACCAGTCATAAACCATGGCTTTTTAGGATTTGAGTGTCACAACAAGCCATGGTTTAAAGCAGCCAAGAGCCTGTAATCCAGCTGGCCAGGGATTGTAAGGGAACTGCGACAGACTTTAATTTCTGTGGTGTTATACAGAAGGACAGATACAGAAGATCACGTCATCTTTTCATCATCTTTGGGCTGTCACAAATATCATGCCATACAGTATAATTTGGTACATGTTTATTGAAACTGGAATAAACGGCACAGTGCTTGTTTGTACAGGCAGTGGATGTTTAGTTTAAAATCCGCAGTGGATCCGTGAATCTTTTTTGTGTGCTAAATTCAGCTCATGCCTTTGTTGTGAACAGAAGTAAGGTGACCATATGCCGATTTTTAAAAAAGACTTCTCAGTCTTTACTAGCCATTTCTAACCTAACGCTGACTTTGTGAATTCTAGTCACCCATTCATTACATTTGTTGGAAGATCATAAGCAACCTGTTCCAACCATTTGAAATGCCCTGAGTTGCCACCATTATATCCTGGAAACTCTGACTCCATTGCTAACGGAGCCCAGCATTTTAAGTCTTTAATAAAATATTGGTTGTCCTTAATGATGGATCAATAGCTTGCGGAATAACCAATGATAGCAGACAGTGTTCCTCAAAGGAAGTCAAGGTGGTGGCGACAAAGCTGGCTGCCTTCCATTTCCTGATCCGTGAAGGAAAGGCATGGATTTTGTTGAGGAAGTCATCAGTTCTCATGTAGTCTACTCCATCCAGTCTCTTTCATTGCTCTCCAGCGGCTTCTTCCCCCCGCTTCACTTCTGTTTCTTATACTAAAAGAAAGACAAGCGACAGACAGAGAGACAACAACCAAGAAAAAAGCAGGAACCAAATTATTCTTCAAATGGATTCGACCCTTAAAGCTGATCATAGAATCATAACATGCTAGAATGACTGAAATGGAAGGGGCCTGCATGGCCAGAGGGTCCAAATCCTTGCTCAGTGCAAAGGATCCAAGTCAAAGTCTATCTGAAAGAGGGTTGTCTAATTTTCTCTTGAATGAGTTGGAATGCTCTCCAGCTCCAAAGTCATGTGTTCCATTGTTGTACTGGTTTAACAGTTAAGACGTTTTACTCCCTGTTGCTTGAGCCCATTATTGCATGTCCTGCACTCTGGGTCGATGGAGAGCACATCCTGTTCCTCCTCTGAATGATTACCTTTCAAGTACAGTGGTGCCTCAACTACGAACTTAATCCGTTCCAGAAGATGGTAGTAACTCGAAAAGGTCATAAATCGAAACACCATTTCCCATAGGAATACACTGAAATGCAATTAATCCGTTCCGACAGAAGGAGAAAAGATCACCAAACAAACAAACAAAACAAAACAAAACACCACTGCAAGACTCATCGGAAACTCGATTAATCCATTCCAGCCGAAGGGGTGAGGAAGCAGGCAAACCGTGCAAGATCTATCGGAAATGCAAAAAAAAAGCAAAGCAGAAAGCAAGCAAACCATGCAAGGCCCATCGGAAATGCAAAAAAAGCAAAGCAAAAAGCAAGCAAACCGTGCAAGACCCATCGGAAATACAAAAAAAGCAAAGCAGAAAGCAAGGAAACCATGCAAGACCCATCGGAAATGCAAAAAAAGCAAAGCAAAAAGCAAGCAAACCATGCAAGACCCATCAGAAATGCAAAAAAGCAAAGCAGAAAGCAAGCAAACCATGCAAGACCCATCAGAAATGCAAAAGAAGCAAAGCAAAAAGCAGCATCCGGAGAAATGTTAAACTGGGACACAGCTGGAAAGCAATAATTCGCTTTTAGATCTGGACCTTATGCGGTACTCACTTTCTCCATGACCCAGTCAGCATCCTCAATAGATCGCTTGATTATCTGCCGAATCCTCTCTGGATTGTCTTCATCAGCATGAACTTGGAAGCTCTGCAAAACCATTAGTGGTCCAGTTAATACCAATGGCTGGTCCAGTTAACTAAAGTTGCTACACAGCATGGCCAGGACAGGAAGTCCGCCATGCTGCCTAGTGGATTCTGAGAGCAGTAGTCCCCCCAAAATACTCAGCAACTTGGATAGCTCCAACATTTATTTTACTATTTTATTTATTTATTTTAATGTATTAAAATGTGGACTAAAGCCCAAAGCAGATTCACTGCTCTGGTGGAATTTGTCTGACAAACCGTAGTTTGTTCAAACAAAGAAGACTGTAGTAATAAGCCACGGTTTGTTGAAACAAGCATTGTCATCAATGTCTTTCCATCTTCTTCTCCTTTTCCCGTCACAACAGAAGAGTTCTGGGATTAATAAGCAAAACAGCAACAAAACAAAACTCTGACCCTAAGTCTCCTTTCTAAACCAAAATCAAACCTTGGTTTGTTAATCTTGGCTTGCAATCCGACCTTAAACCACAGTTTCCTAGTTTAGATGCTAGCACAGCTATACCGGAATTATAAAACACCTGAAGGCATTTCATTGTTGTGTAACACCACAACTATTTGCATGTTATGAAGCTTTAAAATCAGGATCTAGGGATTGTCCTTTGCCATTGGTCAGGGAACGGGTGTGGCCTACCCTTAAAGGGGCAGGTCTCCTCATACACTGAGGAAAACAGCCATGGATTCCAAGGGACCTCGAAGAGGTGTAAAGTGCCTCACTCCACCCACCGTTTCACCTTCATAACAACCCTGTCATGCAGCCTAAGTTAAGGGAGAGTGTCTGTTCCAGGGTCACCTGGTTAACTTAACGGCTGACTTGGGATTTGAACTGGAAGCTTCTGCCTCTCTCTGAGCCAGTCAGCTCTCCCCTGTCGGAAAACGAACACAGAGCCTATGATAACTTTGGGGAAATGTTTCAGTACCTGCCGGACGGTGTGCTTATAATGTTCCTGGACGTTCTTTCCCGGCAGCTTCTTGCAACAGCGAAGCAAATAACGGTACAGCTGCAAAGGCTTGGTCACCAAATCTGCTCCCGGGAGAGGAGTCATCGTCTTACCTCAGCTACTTGAAGGAAGGAAGGCAGATGGGCAGGCCGGCAGGAAGGAGGGAGGGAAGGAGGGAAGGAAGGAAGGAAGGAAGGAAGGAAGGAGAAAGAAGGAAGGAAAGAAGGAAAGAAGGAAAGAAGGAAGGAAAGAAGGAAAGAAGGAAAGAAGGAAGGAAAGAAGGAAAGAAGGAAAGAAGGAAGGAAAGAAGGAAAGAAGGAAAGAAAGAAAGAAAGAAAGAAAGAAAGAAAGAAAGAAAGAAAGAAAGAAAGAAAGAAAGAAAGAAAGAAAGAAAGAAAGGAAGGAAGGAAGGAAGGAAGGAAGGAAGGAAGGAAGGAAGGAAGGAAGGAAGAACAATTAGGCACATAAGATCCTAGAAAATGCCATTACATGCATCTGGAACATATCTGTTCAAAAGCATGTCCCACTGAGTTCTGTGTGTCCTCGTAATGAGGGCCTGAGAACCCCTCTTTGCTAAGTGTAGTGTTTAGAGACCCGGGTTCAAATCCCCGTTCAGCCATGGAAGCTGATGTTGGGGTGGCCCAGGGCGAACCACTTCTTGAACACCCCTTGAAAACTTAATGACAATCGCCATACGTGGAAGCAACCCAATGACACAGAACAACAACAGGAGGAAGGTTTTGAAGTGGCAATCCTGGGCTTCATGATCAGGGGAAATCCATAGCTCTCACATAAAATTTCAGTAATCCCAAAGATTGATTGATCTCGCAAATGCATATGCTGCTGACTTAGTGTTGGACACTTAAGTGGTTTACAAAGATAAAGTCAACAATAACTGCAACCACCTAACAAAAGCAAATAAATAAATAAATACCTCCCTCAACAAATACTGTACCTTTGGCAATGCACGAAAACCTTAACCCTTAAGTTATTTCTGACAGGTTACCATCAAACCTATTTAAAATCTCCAGCAAAGGTGATCTCTCCCCGCCCTTGGGATCACCTCCCCCCCCATCAGACACCTTTTAGTCCAATGATCTCGGGAGATGATGAGGGCTCTAGCGTTGGAGGCCCTCAAGAGATCTGCTTTGATTTGAACTCCTTTGGATTGAGCAGGGGGTAAAGAGGGTCCTGATGGCCTTCGAGGGCCCCCCCCGTTCCAACTCCCTTGATTCTAGGATTCTACTAGTTCACAGGCTATGTCTCCTTGCAGGGTGGATGCAAAGATGCAAGAGAAGGCTGAGGAACCCTTCTTTAGGAAAGGATGGAAATTCAGATCTACTACAGAAAAGAGACACAACTCGTTGTGATGAACACAACCTGGAAATGAAGTGTCTTAGGCCCTTCGGCTCCCTCCCTCACCTTTGGAAAGCAGAACGCCCCGACGTGCCAGGGCTCGGCCGCTGCCCTCCAGCCATTAAGAAGGAACTCGTCAAGAGTTTCAACTTATTATGTGGTTAAGATTTGCTGTTGCCACCGGTTTCACATCTAAATACGAACCAACCAGAGGTGTGATCAAAAACAGCTACTGATTCTGTCCATCAGGATTGCACGGGAGGGGAAACCACCTCCGCCCGGGGGGCCTGCAGCTCTCTCGCTGTTTTTGCAGCACACAGATGCAATTCCATGCGCTCCGATGCACCCTCGGCCAGCTGTGGTTTCTGGGCAGCAGCCCCCTCCACCTCGGGCTTCGTTTGCTGCGCTAACGTGAGATCCTCTGAAAACACGGGGCTGCGTCTCAGCTTGGGACAAATTATTGCACATGACGGGTGGCTAGATTCCGGGTGACGATGTGCCAAAGGAGGGGTAAGGCGTGCCTTTCGAGGGCCTGGTGGAAGCCACGCATGCAGGTGACAAGCCACTGTAACAGTTAATAGAGAGAAGCCGGACTCAACAATGTGCGTTTTCTCAAAGGAAGCATAAATGAACCTTCAGGTTAAATTTTTTTCACTTGTTTTGATGATAAGCCCTTTGACCGCTACTTTGTAAGGGGTTTATAAATGTAGTTAACAAGAACAATCACCACACTGCGTTTCAGCAGACGGTGGCTGCTCATTTGTATGGCACATGCTCTCCACGTGGAAGGTCCTGGGTTCAAATCCTAACATTTCCAGATGGGTCTCAGAAGCACCCCTACCTGAAACCCCAGCCCAACATGTTATTGTTACTGTTGTTTTTTACTGTATTTTTACATGTATAAGACTATACTTTTGTCTATAATCTTTAGATTAAAAATTGAGGGTCGTCTTATACACGAAAGTTAGGTGAGGAGAGAACAAAAACAAGTGGAGGGGAAAGCAGGGATCAAAGCGATCCTGCAATGCTTTGATCCTTTTCCCCCTGCACTTGCTAAGTCCTGCTTAGATTTCTTAATTTTGGATTAGAAAAGTGGGGGCATCTTAGACACGAAAAAAATACGGTACATAGTGCCTTAGACTGAGTGCTTCAAGCACTTTCTGAGTGGTTTGCAATTTAATGATGGAGGCTAGATGCTCAATCGACCAACTTCGAAAGGATGGAAGGCTGAGTAAACCTTGAGCCAGCTACCTGAACCCGGTGAGATCAAACTCAGGTGGTGAGCAGAGGCTGGACTGCAGCACTGCAGTTTAACCACTGGGCCACAGGACAGCTTCTGGAGACTCCAAAAGGTCCCTCTAAGCCTCCCTAGACCTCCACCTCCAGCAGCCACACATCTAAAAATGGACTTTCAATATTGTTGGGGGGGGAAAATATGCCAAGAATCCACATGAATGTTTCCATTCACACACATGCATTAGCGTAACTCGGAGGAATGAATGGCCGCGGATTAACTCGTACAAGTACAAGGGATGGGCTAAACCAAACAACTGGGAATGCTTTCAGGAACTTGTTCATCAGCAAGCTATTCGCCTCTTGGCAGTGTGTACACAGGCATAAATATCTTCTTCGATTCCAGACAGTAAAAACAAACTAATTATAGCACCTTAAAGACTAAGCCATTGCTTTGATGTACGGCCAAACTTTGTTTTTATTTTTGTGACACACGATGAAACTGATTAACACGGCTCTCTGTTTAAAAACAAAACAAAATAGCTACATAGAGAGGAAAAAAGGGGCTCCAAAGGTTTTCTTGTCTAGCATATATTGAAGGGGAGGTGATTTTGCTCTGAGAGCCCCCAACACTGCAGGATTCTCCCCCTCAACCAAAAATATGGTTGTTGTTGTTTTAATTAAAAAAACTTTTTGGCCACTAGAGGGTGCAAGGGGGTCTTTCCAGTTTAAAACAATTTATATAAAACATGGGCTGTGTGTGTTGCGATGGGGACAGCCATACGATGATCTCACGGTTCAGGGATGGGTCTGACCTCCGGCGTTGGCCCATCTTGTTGCAAATCCAGGGTGAAAAGCGCTTTCAGCTTGAGAGATTTAAATTGCTGAGATGTTCTCAATGGCTTTGACTCCTTGGTGGGTGGAATCACTGAGGAGTCAGGTGGGGCCAAAAATCCAAAGCTCGCTGTTGTTTTTCATGGGCACCTTATAACTCTGAGGTAGGCGAGATACTTGGGGTCTGATTTACCACCAACACACAGACACCCCTGGGGTTTTCATGGCCAAGCGGGTTTTGAAACCAGGACTCCTGGGTCCTAGTCCAACACTCTGTCCACCGAGCTCTCTCAAAAGACCCTTGGGAAGCAAGGAGTACATTCAAGCGCAGATAAATTCATTTCACAACCCAAAGCTGGGGGGGAAAGTCTCGCGAGTCCTGTAGGACAAGCAAGAACCAGCCCCAGTTGGATGGGATTCAGTTAGTAAGATTTAAAGACAAAGTGGGTCCCTTCTACCTTCATAGAAACCAGCCACCATCTTAGAAGATACAACACTAGAATAGGCGAGACCTTTATTTGACCACTCAAGAAATCATACAATCTACTCTTGGGTTGTTTTGGCTTTTAATTGCCCGTAAACTATTCAAAATTATCTATCTATCTAATAATAAAGACAATGATAATAATAATATAGTAGGACCTCCATATCCACTGGGGATTGGTTCCAAGCCCTCTGTGGATAGTGAAAACCATGGATAATAGCAAACACTATCTATCTATCTATCTATCTATCTATCTATCTATCTATCTATCTATCTATCTATCTATCTATCTATCTATCCATCTATCTATTTATCACTTGGGAAATGGACGGCCTGCGCTCAGAACTCCATCGTCCTTGTTATCTATCTATCTATCTATCTATCCATCCATCCATCCATCCATCCATCACTTGGGAAATGGATGGCCTGCGCTCAGAACTCAATCGTCCTTGCATGTACCCTCGTTTACTCTGCAACCACAGCACCTATCAAGCCGTCAAACCCTTCCAATATATAGGATTTAAAGACTTCCACCACCTTAGGTGTTGTGGGTTCATCTTCTCGATCTGTGCTTGCTGAGAAGGCCTCTGGAACGACGTGGGGCCACCACCCTTAAGATCTCTGCCTGCCTGCCTGCCACCTTCAAGGACCCACTGGCTCTGTGACTAAGGCGAGTCTCTCACCCTCCTGTTATATTTCTCGGTGGTTTCTGGACACCCCTCAAAAGTGCGCCCGCCCTCAAGGTCCACCAAGACTCTTGGCGGGTTCGGCGGCAAGCGACCCATCTCGGGTCTCCTTGGAATATCGGTTGTCGGTGGTTTCTGGACACCCCTCAAAAGTGTGCCAGCCCTCAAGGTCCACCTTGGCGGGTTCGGCGGCAAGCGACCCATCTCCGGTCTCCTTGGAATATCGTTTGGGGTCGCCCTGTGGGGTGGGGCCGTACTCAGAACCTCGCAGCAGCTGAAGCCACACGGACTCAAACTGTGTTTTTTGGGGTCTGATGAAGACCAGAAAAGGGGCCTGCAGCCCATCATCATCATGACCATCATCTTACAACACTAGCCCCACTGGCCGTCCTTGACAGGGGCTGGACTGGACAATCTAGCCAAGAAGGTCCCTTCCAGCTCTGCAATTCTAAGATGATGAGGAGGAGGTGAAACATGCAAATTAGGGTTCAGCAATTTCGCTGGCTGGATTGCTCAGTGGTTGGAGGT